GGATAAACGACCCAATCAGTCAGCTGGAAGTGGATGGCCTTTTATTTCCTAACCGTCGTGCTCTAAAGTCTGTGGGAATATTAATCGCTGAAACATACCCCCTACCTCTCGCTCTGCTTGACACTGGGAACACGGGAAAAAGAAGAGGACGACTTGAATGATGTCTAAATATTTGAAGAGGTTGATGTGATGTTGGGCTTTGAGCCTCACTGTCAGTGAGCGGGAGCAGAAATCAGCAGAGACTACGTTGAAGATCTGAGGGGGAGAAAACACGCCTGTTTATTTTTGATCACTCCCTCTTCTTTCTTTTTCTCCATCTCTCTGTCTCTCCATTTCTCTGGCTCTTTCATTTTCTTTTTCTCGCTCGCTCATTTCTGTCTTTCTACTATGTGTGTGAAGCCTGTCCACACTAATGCAGATATTTAGAGAAATAAACTTTTCCCTCTGTGTTTGAGCCTCTCATCCACATGCAAACAGTCTTTAAGTTACTAAAACCGAGATTTTTACAAACGACTTCCAAAGTGATGATTTTCAAAATCATTGGTTTATGTGTATCTGCATGCACCAGACACAACAACAACAACACTGCCGGCTACATACAGGTTCATCTATGTTTAGTCGGTCTTTACAAGTTGTCATCACTGCACCACATAACTGGCATGCATCTGCCTCGCTATTACTTACCCAGCATTTTTCTCATGGTAGTTGATGGGTCATTGATTTTTGAGACTGTCTCTCCACCTACTTGCTCAGCATCCTTGTTTGAGATCTTGAAGTTGGTTTCATGCTCTTGTCTGGATGGAAATATTTTGTAATACAACTTTGTAAGTTGGAGCGGAAAAATATCTGTTTAAAAAAATATCTGCAGTAATGTCGGCAAAGCCCTAATTTGTCTGTCTTAAGGTTTTTGTTTTCCTTGGATACAATTAATTTATTGTAGAAATTAACCAGCACTAGCCTACACACACTCTGGGCTGACGTGCCAGACCTCACAGCAACATAGCTTGTGGGATTCAGTGAATGTGTGTGTGTGTGTGTGTGTGTGTGTGTGTGTGTGTGTGTGTGTGTGTGT